TAATTACGAGCTAAATGTGAATCACCCAGCAAATTTTTTTTTAAATGTTAGTATACATACAATAGTTCCTTTTTTTGTTATAGCATAGTAGTAGTAAATACGTGTTTTTTTCTTACTTATTTTCTGCATTTTATTACTTATTTCCTGTATTTTCATAAATATACAAATTATAGCTATTTATTTTTTTATTTTTTGTTGATGGCTTCTGTAGGTGATGAGCCCCCAGGCGGTCTTTCACAAATATTTTCAAGCGCAAGAAAAAGCTGGTGGACAATCCGATAGGGGTGGAGGTACTGAGGGGGCCTCCTCTTCACATCATGCCACCCATACCCAGCCTAGCCCCTCTTTGCCTACACCTCCTATAGGGAGTCAATAATTCTACGCTCCAGACCCCCGTTTTTCATCACTAGACCCTACATAGACAGCTCCCTTTTACCCGTACTACCCCCCCCCCCAAACAATCTTCTCAGGGAGTCTCTTTTACTTATTCATATTCATCATACGTTCCTCCATTCTACTACCCCTAGGCCCTCTGCAACTGGAACTTCTACCCCGACTGCAGTTGGATCTTCCACGTAGACTGTCGCAGCACCGACCATAAATGGGCGCATGTTGATTCAGCCTGAGGGTGATACGTACGTAAATGTGTATGTCTTATATTAGGGATATATTTGAGAAATAATATTTTTCAACTATATATTGTCTGCAGGTTTTACCCGTCAAAGCAGCTCAATCACAAGATACAGGATATCATACGGAACATGTTTGATGCTCTGTATATTTCTTAGAAGAAAATCTCGAACAAAGTACGCAACATGTGATTTAGAGAGTTTGAGGTTAGTAAGTTGCAGTATTGTGAACATCTATTCATATTTTATTAAGCTAACTGATTCGGACATCAGCACGAAGATCTGGCGCATCTATCACAGGAGGCGTCGTAAATCGACGTCTCTAATTTAAATTGTTATTTAAAATTTATTTTATGAATTTTAGCTATTATTTTATGTTATTTCATGTTTTACCCCTAGGTTAGTTTATTTGAGTGTTATGGCCTAAGGGGCATTTTTGTAATTTTCTATTTTCTCATGTTATGGCCTATATATAGGGCCTTAAGCTATTGTAATAGCATGGTTAATTGATATGAAAAATTTTGTTTTCCACACTTGTGTTCTTCTTGAGAGAGGATGAGAGTGAGATTTCTATGAGAGGAATCGAGAGTTTCACCGGCCGCAGGATGGGTCCGGGCTCGTGATTTGAAGTCCCTTGGAGAAAGGCAATTGGATCACCCGTCAGTCTTCGGAAGAGTCCAAGGCTCGTGGTTTATATTTTATCTTCTATCTTTTGCTCTTATCTTTTGGTTTGTGTACTCTTTGTTCCGTCTTTGTATCCCTCGTCGTATTGCCCCTCGTAGTCATCTTCTTCCTCCTCCTCCATCAACCTCACGGGCCAAACATCCATACCAAGCTCCACAAAAAATTTTCATAGCCCCGGTCCACCTCCACCCATCCCCAATTGGTCGCCGGCCAAGGCTCCAACCGCCGGCTCCCCATTCCCCCTTGGTCCCCTTTAATTTGTTTCCTAATTTGGAATTGGAATTATTGGGATTAATTTGAAATTCAAATTCATCCAAATTTGAATTCAAATCATTTCTTAATTTAGTTAATCTATTTTAGGAAGGTATTTGATTTAGATTCAATTTTGAATTTTAAATTCAAGAGGATTTAAATTAACTATTTCCTAAATCTAAAACCTAAATTAGGAAACCTCTAATTGCTCTCACCAATCAATTCCCCACCATGCATGCTTTCGGCCCCCATTGTTCTCCCTCATTAAATCCTTTTCAAATTATTTCCTAAACTCTACTCTAGCTTTAGGAAATAATTTCAAAATCCTTAACTTCCTCTTAGCCGAGAATTTCCCTAATAACTAAGCTCTAATTTCTTTCCTGAAACTAGATCTTAAATTAGGAAATTAGAATCCCAGCCCCCTTCCCTTCTGTCACCCATATCCCCCCTCCCTCTCACATCTCTTCCCCACCGTTAATCACCTGTGATTCAAGTCCATACTATTGCTCCTTCTAGCCCTTTCCTCCCAACATTGAGAGCTTAATTTCTTCTCAGATTTTGAGAGGAAAATCTTAAGTCTTTCAGATTTCCTGAAAGGAAAATTCAGATTCAAAGCTTTTTGGGTTACTTTTCTCCCCACTTTCTCTCTTCCCAATCAACACCTCACTGGAGTATTGAAACCCATCCTCTCTCCCAAACTCTATTTCTCTTTCAAGCAAGAAATCGAATTTCTTCTCAGATTTTGTGGGAAAAATGCTGGAATTCCTATCAGATTTTGTGAGAAAAATCTGAAATATTTGGGATTTCCAGTAAGGAATTGTTTCAGACTCTTGGAACACTTTGCTCTTCAAGACGATTAAAAATTTCTGAGATAAATCCAGATTTATTTCAGATTTTGCAAGGAACAATTTCAGATTTTGGAGAGGAGATCCTTTCCCTAACAAAGTCAATTTTCGTTCTACATCACTAACAAAGAATAATTTTTATTCTAATTTGTTATATACAACAAAATTGCTATTGGTTGCTTGAGCATTGTACTCATATCAGAACAAATTTTGAGAAATGTGGAGCAACTTGCCTACGAGATATGTTCACATGCATTAGGAGGACATGCGAGCGACCGCTTTGGATTAGAGAGGGTGTATGTGTCAAGCTCAATAATGCTTAAGGCAGCCCAGATTATACTGTGAGAAGGGAGCATAACAGACATAATCGAGCTTCTAAAGTCGAGGGTTTGGGTAGCTCCCTCCATACTGGGGGCTTAGTTCCACATACTAAGCATAGACGATTGGTAAAAAATTTAATAAGTTCTAAATTTTTTTGTTACACATGTTATCTAAATATATTGTAGAAGGACATGCTTGGTAGAGAACTCACTGCAATTGAGTTGCACAGTCGACTCACAAGTGTCAGGACTCAGGAGGACTAGTAGTGGATGGATGAGCGAGCGAGGAGGGCATATGTAAGTATATAAGGTTACAATACTTAGAGAAATTTTGCAAGTGACGATTATACGATGACTAATCTTATATTATATTTTGTAGGATGAGTATACATGACTTCAAGAGAACCAAGCTGCAGTTGAAGAGATCCTTTGGGGGTTCCGTAGATATTTCAAACTATCACACTTGGTCATAGGCAATAGGCGAAATGCAGGATGGACAAGTTTATAGATTAGGCTCGCAGGCCTACTCGTACAAGGGACAGTCCTCATCTACCTCCAATTACTCTGCAAATAACCAGGATGGTTTGTATAACCAACGGGTTGCTAACTTGACAGCATAGCTAGAAAATGTCAGAAAATCATAAGCGGACATCAACATTCATATATTGGAAGAGCTTCAAAGTTTGAGAGACCAGTTTGGTGGAAATCACCTTGTGCCTGCATCAGCCGAGCAGAAGATTGAGGATACATATCCGCTTAGATTGTCTGTGTAGGGGTTCTTAATGCATTTTATTTTTTAATGTATAAGAATTATGTTTATGTTAGCAGTATTATAAAAATTGTAGATCCATTGGAATGTAATTGTCTATTTGACCAATTGGTTTGTGATTGTACAAAAATATGTTTCTTTCATTTATTTTAGCATTGTTTATTAAAATATTAGCATTATTAATTACTGCTTTTAAACTACTTGAATTGTTATTGCTCAAAAGCTCAATATTTGATTGTAGGTGCTTTTTTTTATAAATGTTATAGGGTTCAGGCAGATTTGTGGTGACACAGAAACAACGAACGTGTATCGTATTTTGTGATGGAATAGTCCATCGCACATTGTGGCAATATTTCCGTCATAATTTACAACAGCATTTCCGCCACAAATCTGTTACAAATCCATCGTAATTTGCGATGAGATTTGTGTCGGGTAATTAAAACGAAGGCGTAGTTTTCTCGAAATCGATTCTGTTGTAAATCCGCATGAATTATTTGCGATAGATTCGTTACGTCGTAAATACATTTGCAACACAACTTTTTTACCATCAAAATTTATTATGTCGCAAATCTTCCACAAACTTAATCCGCCACACACTGAAATTTGCGACGAATTTAGCCTTTTTTTTTGCGTCAGATTTTTCCACAACAAAAAAAAAAACTGACTTTCCTGTACTGGTGGAACTTTTATTTGGTCCGGTGAACGTATGTTCCTCTACGTTCGGTCACCAATGTATTAGCGCCACGTAGCAGGAAGAAAAGACGCTGACCCGACCCGCTGTTTTTTGGGTTCTCGCACATGCGTTTTTTTAACTCTCTCTCCCAAAGGATTTGGCCGAAGAACCGCGTATAAGAGAGATACAGCGAGCTCCCGTTTTTGCTTGCGATCAAAATGGAGTAATGGACATGTATGATAGGCGGCTGATTTGGAGCAATCTTGTGTTTGATTTCTAGGTATCTTATATATCAAAAAAAATCTATTGCATTATTTAGATTTTTTCATTGCTAAAATATGTTTATTTCTTCCCTTATTTTACCCTAATAAACCTCTATATATTGGGCAACAAAGAGGAGAATTATACATCTTTTTTTTTTCTTACTCTCCTACCATTTTCTTTCACGTATTTATTATAAGAATATTATTTCAGGACAGATATTACACACCTAACTTCCTGTTCATTTCATGAAAAAATTTGATATGTATTACATTCTCGAGACTAATTGAAAATAGTAAAAAAATTGTGAAGTATGAAAATTTATATTTTTATAATTTATTTAAATATATATATTAAAAATATAAATTTAAAATGATGAAGCTAAAGTTTCATTCCACAAATGGGTCAAACATTTCACTTCATGCTTTCTCTTTTTAAAACATCGACGTATTCATATTTGTACATTTATTTTGTTTATATCTCAAATAATTTGACCGAATTTCTGGGGTTGAGTGAATGTATGTCCATGCATATTTATTAATAGTAAAACTTAGTAAGAAAGAATACCTGCTCAAGTCTGGAATGACGAGTTGCAAGGTCAGAAAAGCTATACAGAAGCCGAATACTCTGAAGCAAATGTAAAAAATTTTCGCGACCATTTGACAAGAGTACTGCAATAACGTGCAACGGTAGAGAAGAAGCCAGGCCCTCTATATCAATCTGAATAGGAAACAATATAATAAAGAAATTGAGAATGACTAATAATACAAGAACAACTAAAGTTATTGAAGGGAAATATAAACTAACTTGTCTAGAGCATCCTCTTGAATCATTGAATTGAATGGTGAAAGTGTCAGTCTCTTTCAGCAACTTAGTAATGTCTTTAGAGGGGATCCCACTCAACTCTTCAATAGCTGAGATCAGGTTAAACATCTATAAAGAAAATAATGAAGAACCTTAGCAAAATGATTGCAAAAATAATAACATATGATCTCACAGTATGAGAAAAAAACGAACCAGTTGATCAAAGAACAAAAAAAAAACCGATAAAGTATCCAATAAGAGATGGGATGCAAGGACTTGATAAGCTTAAAAATAAAAACTAAACATAAGAGTAAATGGGAGCAGGCCTACAAAATACAGTGGAGATTTTCAGAGCATAAATAGTCCAAAATTTTAGTAGTTAGCTAACATAAAGTGAGAAAAAAAAAAACTAAAGCAAATCATAAAGGACAAATAATACTCACTTGCAAAGCTACACCGCAATATATATATATATATATATATATATATATATATGCATCAAAAAGGACAGTAATCTTAAAGGACTGTTCTTTTAAAAGACATGATTATTCTCCTTCAAATTTTATTAGTAGGTCTACTTCTTTATAACCAAAAAAGCTCCCGATTATATTGTGTAAACTTATCTAAGACAATAGGAATGATCAACAACTAAAATATTTTAATGCATTTAATTGATAATCAATGGATCATTAAAATTTCTCAAAATCATGAATGCCACAACTAGGTTTTTTTTTAAATAACTCCCCTCCAAATTCGTTTAGGAGGTGAGCTACCAAAAAATATATTTTAAGTAGCCAAATCACCCTCACCCAAAATTTGCGTGATTTGGCTCCTGCCAAAGGTTAGCTTTTGTTTAAGAGAACCAAGGGCATTGTAGAAGTTACCAAAATTTTGAGAGAAATTAGAATTTTCCAAAAACAAAAAAAGTGGTGGGCTTGCCCACCGCCAATTTTGAATTGGGAGCCTAGCCAGTGGCCATGTCCTTCCATATGATTTTTTTGTTTAACTTTTTTATTTTTTTCTATATTTTTGGAAATGTAATATTATTTAGTTTTTTTTAGCATAATTTTTATATAAAATAATTTTTAGTTCTAAGTTTTGAATTAACTTGATTTTGGAATTATATATATATATATATATATAGAGAGAGAGAGAGAGAGAGAGAGAGAGAGTGACTAAAATGATCTTCAATAATATTGAAGGACCATTTTGATCCCTAAGTCCTTAAAAAGGAATCAAAATAGTCCCATGGTGGGACTACTTTGGCTCCTCTTCAAAAAGTTGAGGGACTATAATGATCTTTTAATATAGTTGGGGATCATTTTATATATACTTATTTATTCTTTTTATAATTATTTTGTTTCATTAAAAAATTTATCAAAGATCTTTTTAAGTTCAAAGTTTTGAATTGAGTTTATTTTTTGAATTATTTTGTTAAAGCCTCCGAAAGATGCCCACTCAGGCACTCAAACTATATTATATATAAAAGAGTTCGTATTCAAGTTGTTTTTAAGGAGGCAGATTAGATAGTGTAGAAAAAGCACTATCCATAAATTTTATCCTCTTACAAGAACTTGCATATTCCTAATTTGAGGCTTCAAATGAACACAAAACCCTATAGTTTTTTTTATGTTTTTTTTATTTTATTTTTTTAACACAAAACCCTATAGTTAAGTTTTCATTTTGATCACAAAAGGAAAATTTTGATTAATTCAAGTCTATACACTTTGTATGATGCTTTGCTTCAAAAACACCTATTTGAATTGGGGAAAGAAAGATCACCAATGGGTCAATGTAAATGAAGGAAAAATAATAAAAAACCCGATCAACATCCTACTATTTTGCTATCTCAGGTTACCATGGCCCTTGCTCTACTTAGTTAAAAGAGGTAATTGATCTAACCTAATTGAAGGATCCTTATAAAATACCACGAGTTACATTACCTAAGAGAAGTTTATATTTCTAGGGGAAAGTATTGCCAAAAGGGCCATCATTAAGTCAGTCTTCACTAAAAAAAATCTTCATGCCCTATCAAGTACAACTAACAGCTTACAAATCATAAACTTAGTCATTAGAGAACATTTGAACTTGTCTGGTTAAAGTTACTCAGGAGAACAATTTAGACATGATCACCGGACCCATAGGGACTCTAACAGTAACTTTTGGTGTGAGTCTTCTTTAAAGATTATTATTTATTTAGATTAAAATTGAATATTCAATGACTATTTTTTAGCAGAATTTCATATAACTCTTGAAAATTACAACAAAAGCAAGTTAGAGTTCATATAAATTAATAGACTGAAATAATTAGCCTTAGAAAATTATCAGATTATTCACTTTATAAAATTCTAATAGCCCTCAAATTCTCAAAAATAAAAAAAGGTAAGATTTTGTTCTGATTTTGTTCTCCATTTGTGTGGAACGTTTGAATTCAAACAATATAATATTACTCCAGATAGCAAACAACATAACACTATCGGATTGCTTGGATGCAGGATTTGAGCGGGATTTAGCCTAAATCCTGCCAAACATCAAAAATGACAACTTTAAATCCTACAGAATCTTAAATCACGTTCCTTCTCAGTTTTGCATTGAATACCGGATTTAGTAAATCCGATGGTTCGGAAAATTTACGGGATTTAGGTTCCGATCCGACGTTGTCGAAGGAAGCGACGAAACTTCGGGACTCCTTCAAAACGCTACTTCATGCAAAGCACGCGAAGCCGAAGCATAAACGAAGAAATGGCAACGAGGAAAAGCAAACCCTAGAAAGGCCTAAGGCAATAGGAAGAGCATAAACGAAGACCAAATAAAAGGGAAATTACAGGTCTGGATAGACAATGGCAGAGAAGCACACCGTTGTCCAAACTCCATTTTCGCTATGATCACCTCTCCGCTGCCATCTCTTTCTCCCTCACTCTCTCTCCCGCTCTTCTTCTTCTCTTTTTATGTGAGTGTCTTAGGTGAAATTAAACGGCTTATTCTAACTGCAACAAATAATTTGTTTATGTTTTTATTTAAATTTTATTAATCGGTGCTTCATCTATTAACTTTGATGATTATCATACTTCTTTATAAAATAAATCTGAAAAATAATTAGTTGATTGGACAATAAAAAAATTTACATTTATCACATAATTAATTATTAATATTATAACTATACTTAGAAATTATATGTTAACTAAATTTGATTATGTTTCATTGATTTAATACTTTACTAATTAATACTGAAATATAATCTTAATATATGATAAGCATGATTTGAATACTTCGAGCAAGTTTTGTGATTGAAAAGTATCCCTCCCTTAAACGGCAAAATTTAATAAGATGGTAAGACCTACAATGTTTTTATAGTGCAGAATGTTGGTATTAAAATAGAAGCATAAAATTAAGTGTTACGGAGACGATGATTAGGGTTGCAAACTAACCGAGCCTAGTCGAGTATGTGAGTGTTCATATTTGAGTTCATTTTATTATTAGCTTCTTCAAGTGTAGTTCGTGTTTGATTCAAGATTTATTGTTAGAGTTCATATTTGGTTCGTTTAAATTAATGGATGTTCATATTTGGTTCATGTTCAAATCGTTTAGTATTTATCGAGCTTTAAACAAACAAGCCTTAACGAGGAATGTTTGTGATCATATTTTGCGAAATTTTTAAACTATCAAACAAGCACATTCATGAACATATCTAATTAGTATTCTTGAGCTATCAAATGAGCAAGTACATGAATATATATAACTAGTGTTTTCAAGCTACCAAATGAGCTCATTCACGAACAAACGATCTATGATTCATCTTATTTTTGTTCATGAACAATTTTTTCACGAATCGAGCTTCTTATCGAGCTTAATGTCTAGCTTGTTCACGAGCTTCAAATGATATTGTTCATGAACATAAATGAGTCGAACACATTAGTGTTCAAGCTTGTTTATTTAATGATCGACTCTTTAAAATATTATTAAAGTTTATTTATTTAGTTAATTAAACGATCACAAACGAGCTTTAATCAAACCAAGCAAAGAGTGGTTCGTCCCGCTTTGTTCGCTTGCAGCGCTAACGATGATGCTCAGGTGAATGAGTTACTTTATTCTTATTATGTGAAACAAGTTTATATAGGTGTGTCAATTTTAGGTCACAGGTTAGGTTTGGGTCGAACCTAGAACTAACCCAGCACTATTTGAGTCAACCTGAACTTGACCCGTTTTTGTAAACATGTCAGTTTTTCAGACCCAAATATGACCTGCTTCGGGTCCATGTCAACCCGACACGACCCGAATAACCCAGAGCCTATAAAAAATTGCTAGTTTTTTTGTTAAAAAATGGGTTAATCTCCAATTTTTTGGGTTTAAATTGGGTCAATCTCGAGGTACCAAGTCAAAACGGGTCAATTTCGGGTTATCGGTTCAATCCGAAGCCGACCTAATTTTTGAAACTAGTCGATTTCTTAAACCCCGAACCCGTCCCGTTTTTGGTCTGGGTTGACCCAAATCTGAAATTTTCGGCTCAGGTTCGAGTTGGGTTTTTGGGTCGTGTCAAATATTGACACCCCTAAGTATATATGTGAAAATGTTGGAGCTGCTCCAAAGGATGATAAGATTAGAGAGAGCCGTCTTAAATGGAAAGGCAATACACATAAAATGTTGGTCTTTCTATGACCCGATTATGAGAGTGTATGTATTAGATATAACACATATCACACCCAAGTCAGAAAGGCAATACACCTAGACAACACAGGATGTGCTGAATAGATAAGAAAATATGTTTAGTATTCACAAAGAAAACATGCACACACAAATGATACAACATGATATATATATATATATATATAATGTTGTACCATTTGTGTTTCCATGCATGAGATACAAGACAACAAGAATATAAATAGAACATAATTAATAATAGGAAAGAAACTACCCAACACATAGATAATAAACTACTACGAAATAGCAAATACCAAAAAAATAGGCTACTGCTAGTAACCCTGCTCCTAAGACGGCGTTCCACCAAACACACGTCTATAGGACCTGTTGAAAAAGACAACATGTGAGTTTGATAAATCAAACTCAGTGAGTAATTACTATATATCAAAGCATTAAACGACAAAAGAACGTGGCATAAAAAATGAACAATCAAAAGAGGGGAGTAGTAATCCATAATCACTATATAAAAAACTGTTGAGATATGCATCTTCTAATATGCATGAATATATGTCAAATGGCTAGCATGGCCCCTGTGCAAGAATGACACGCATAAATCGAGAAATGGTCCAAATTTTGTTCTTAAATATATATATCAAATGGTTGTGGATGCCTACTTATTATTTATTTTTATTTTTTTTTTATGCATCACACTAGGTATCCATGTATCTCACAATGACTTGTAAGCCATATCTTATTTCTAATTCATATTCCACTTATATTTTATTGCATATATAATTATTATCGGTTTATCATATACCTATAACTGGAAAGGCAAGCACCAACCCAAGAAAATCCAGTGATTTTCTGCAAAGTGATCACTCTGGGGCCCATCGATCCCGACTAACAAAAAACCAATAAGATTCTACCGACATACATACAATCATATAGTGCGAGTGTTTTACAAAAAAAAAAGGTATTATATAAATCAACATAACAATTTATAATTTATAAAATCAAAATGACTTATAACAAACGTATTATGTACAACATTAATTAAAGCTAATAAGTATATGTTAAACCTTTCTACAGCATGAACTATTTAAACAGCATGAACTATTTAAATGCTAACAACTCGTGTATTAACAAATCAAGTTAATATTATTTCCACTACATGATGATTTTAATGTGAAAAATAAATAAGATCCCTAAAATGCTCAATACTAACAATTATTGGTAATAGAACTAACAACCTAAATACTTATAAAAAATATTATAATATAAATTTCGCAGATTATGCCCCTAACAAAGAAGGATAAGTTTGCAACAAAATAAATAACAGCTACTTATCTCTAGGAAAGTGACATAAGGTCCAAAGCTAAAAGATGTTCAACCAATCACACCTCAAGGACTAAGCTCAAAAGTCCTACAAACAATAAATCCTAATTTAATATAATACTAAAAGACTCCAATATCTAAAACATAAAGCTTACACATTCCAACCTAAAATTTGTTTATAAAAAACAAAAGATTTAACATCAAATAATGACAACGAAGGTATCTAAATACCATAAGATTCCCTAATTTTTGAAATAAATCGCAACATAAAATGAGAGCATACAAACATGAATAAAAGCATTAAAAAATGATTAATTAAGATCTGACGTCTCCAATCAACAACAACAACAACAACAACATCAAGCTTTTATCCCACTAAGTGGGTTTGACTACATGAATCCTTTTTCTCCATTGTGTCATGTTAAAAATCAAATTCTCATTTAAATCTAATAAAGAAATATCATTTATAATACTTTCTAATTAAGAATTTTTATGTCTACATATACCTTTCTTAACATAAGTCAAATATAATACCTCTACTATCTTAACCGGGTCATCGAAAGGTCATCATTTTATCTGACCAAACCATTTAAGGCGACGCTCTCTAATCTTATTTTCCGCTGGAGTTATTCCAACCTTTTCACATATATGCTCACTATGTATCCCATCTCTAAGGGTAAAGCCACTCATCCACATGAGCATCCTTATATTTATAACACTAAATGTAGTATTATGATTGTTTTAATGGCCAATATTTGGCACCATAAAGCATTGCAGGTCTCACCACCATCTAATAGAAGTTTCCCTTAAATTTGAGGGGAATTTTTCTATCACACAACAAGCCTGATGCATTCCTCCACTTCAACATTCCAACTTGAATTCTACTGATAATATCCCCATCTATTTCACCACCACTTTGAATAATAAATCCAATATATCTAAAACGTGTACTCTTAATAATGACTTGATCGCCTAAAGTCACAATCCCTCGCTAGGTCTATTACTACTAAAATTGCACTCCATATATAGATTTACTCAAGCGAAAACCTTTAGACTCAAAAGTTGACCTCCATAATTCAAGTTTACCTTCAACTCTCTCTCTAGACTTATCAACAAGAAAAATATCATCAGCTAAAAGCATACACCAAAGTAAATCTCCTTGCAAATGTATAGTGAGAACATCCATGACTAAAGTAAAAAAGATATGGGCTTAAGGTTGATCCTTGACGTAATCTAACCAAAATAGGAAAATACTTAATAAAACCACTTTGTGTTTGAACACAAATAATAGCTACTACATACATATTTTTAATGATTTGAATATTACCGATATTAACTCATTTATTTTTAAGTACTCTCTTTTGTACTTCTCATGCAACTTTATCATATATTTTCTCTAAATCAATAAATATCATATATATCCTCCTTATTCTCTTTCTATTTCTCCATCAAACATCTCAATAAATGTATGGCTTCCATAGTACACCTACCCGGTATGAATCCAAATTAATTGTTGGCTCGAGAAAAATGGCACGAATGCACGAATCCCGCTTTACAGCCATAGGATTCCCTTTCCCTTAAGTCAGATTGAAATTAACCAGATTTCCCCTGAGGGTAGTGTCAGGGTTTATAGATCTGGGGTTCTTACTTCCTATGAGCGCAAGCACTCATAGTTAATTACCCCTCTTACTATGTAAGAGAGAACTCTCGATTAAGGATGAATATATTTTAGGTAATTTAGTCTCAAATGGTGGGAAGATGGAGGTAAACCCGATCAAGATTCCCATGGTTCCGTCGACCCGGGTATACCATAAATTTCAGTCTACCAACACTAATAATCATTGACCGTAGTATCTAGGGAATATGATTAGCAGGCATGGGTTGCCTCCTCTTAGGGATCCCGAGTAGACTAAAGTGGTTAGATATTGATTTTAGTTTTAATTTAATTTGAGTTGGGGCTTACTACTTCCTTAGAAGTTGCCCATTAATTTATTTATTTTGGGGCTTATAACTTCAATTAGGAGTTGTCCAACGGTTAAGGGGCTTATGGCTCCAATTAGGAATTGCCCTGATAGTGGGACTTATGGCCTCTTTTAGAGCTAGCCCGAAGAATTTCGGTTGGATAGGTCTTATGACTTTCTTAGAAGTTGACTAACGGAGGGTCTTATGACCTAGCCCTGTAAGCTAAGTGGCCCTTGTTGACCTCAACTTATGTGGCATGGTTAATGCGAGAAAATGAGATGCTAATCAATATTGATAAATAAGATATCACTCAGAATGAAGATCGAATTGTCTTAATCAGGATGAAATGATTAAAGCTTTGTCTGATTACAAAATGGATCATATCGATGCATTCAGGACATCAAATATACCAAATACAAGTTGTTCGTATGTGACTCGATCGAACGACAATGTGTTAACGGATGCGACGCTAGCAAAACACTATCCAAATGACATCAAACAAGCTTTGTGATGAGTTTAGAGCATCGAATTTAACTAAAGAGAAATCCCGCGCAATCAAATTGAACAAAAGCGATTGAAATCGACGAACTACGGACATACTCGATATTGCCCAAGCATCGTCCGTTTGCAAAATGAATTTCTTCGTTATATTCGGAACGTTGAAAATACTAGAAAATGACTATCATATTGCATGGATCCTTACATGTGCGAAAATATAAAAATTTGCTTGCATGCGAGGCGATGACGACACGTAAATTGCGATGTGTGATAATTGAAATGCAAGATCCGGCATATGAGGTATAAAAAAAAATCATTATATATATATAAGAAAAAAAAAGAGTGAAGAAATAGATTATGTAATAGTGTTTTATTGCTTTTCTATATTGCTGTAAAATAATATAATGTTATAATTAATACATTATTATAGTACTATTAATATAACTATAGCTATTTAGTTAGATATTTAAATTTAGAATGATAAGCTTTATATATTACTAAGAGTTTTGTTAGTATCTGTATGTAGATATAATATGAGAGTATCTCATCAACTTATGCATGTACATTTACACCTAGAGAATTATTAGAATGCCAGCTATCATCTACGTGTCTTCTTGTAACCGAACTGCTCTTGTACATGTCCTTCTACAAGCCAATCCACTACTCATATCTTCCAAAATTCAGACACCTAGCAGAAGAGGGGAAATCTAATTTCTCTTACTCATTCCTTTCCATTTACAAAGTGAGGAATTTATTTTATTACTTACGCCCCAACTCAACTACAAACTACAGCAAGCCGCTCCACTCTATTCAGCCATTACATCCAAAGTTCTCCAACTCCAACTCACCCAAAAGCCTCCTACAGCACTTGCACTTCCATCTTCTACAGGGAAATTTGAACCAATTTCATAGCATTTTCAATGTCTTGATCTTTTCTTTGCAATGATTGTGATAACTCATTCGTAATGCCCAATATGATAGACAAAATAGCAAGAATATATTTTATGTCTAGCTTATGCAAAAATGAACAATAAGCTTGAAGTTGCTAAATTTTATAATGATTTGTTGGACATTAAAATAAAATCTCCCTTAAAACGAAATCAAACTTAAAATTACACAAAAATTGACTAAATTTCAAATAAAATATAGTAATCTTCATCTTCCCTAATATCATCATCTTCCATCAAATCTAAAGTTGGCAATTTTAACTGATAAAAAAAGGAGAAATGAACAGAGCTTTAAAGTTTAAACCCAAGCAATGAACAGAGCTCTGTTTCATTCAACAATGTGTTAATAGAAAAAATTAACATCTGCTTTGTAGGTTTAGAATCATATTTTCTTGGAGTAGATGTGATCTCATCTTAGCAAAAATTAAAACGTGTAAATGCCCTATCCTATTCAGATTCTTACAACTAAAATTTCAGCCATATTTAATTCCATTTGCTCTCTTCCCTAACCAAAGAAGATCAAAAAGACAAAAACGCTTCTCATTATCAATCAATGCGTTCAAAAATCAAAACTGACCTAGATCTCCCGATGCTGGAGGCAGTCGCGAATCACGAACGACGTTGGAAGTCGGAACGGACTCTTCCCTGAGGGATATTTCTACGAAGTGACGAAAGAATCTTCAAAGACTGAAGTCGGAACGGACTCTTCCCTGAGGGAACTTCCCTCTCGCCGTCTTGCGCGAATCAACTGCGACGAAGTGACGAACTGACGAAGCCTTCCCTCTCGCCGAGTCGCCCGCCGTCTTGAGCGTTCGCTGCAGGTTCGCTGTTTTTGAGTTGTTTCGGCTGGTTAGGGCAAAAGGGGCAACATAATATGTTTCGGCTGGTTAACTTACTTAAATACCTTTCTTAAAAAAAAATTAAGGGAGGCAATTGCCCCGACCGAACAGTTCCGCCCCTGATCATCTTCATTCAAAACCAACCTCACTACTTCTCTATTTATACAAAGCCACATCTTATTACTTACCAAACCCAACTCCAAATCATCATTACACCAAACATCGAATTCTCTTAACCTTTCTCTTTATATTTATATAAAATTAAAAAAAGAAATATAAACTCAAAAAAATATATATATATTCAGCCCTTTGCCGCAAATCTTTGTCGCCATCGCCTCGCTAGCTTGTCAAGGTATATCATTCGCCAAACTCTAAAATCTCTTTTTTGGCGTTTTTGGCGCACCGGAAAATCATCTATACAAGCTTTTCTCTAGCGTGGTGCGATGGGAACCCGATGCGACACCTACGGCGAAACGGGGATATTCATAAGTACCCGCTCGCAGGGAAATGACTGTATTTTTCTTGCAACAGGTACTGAAAACCCATACACGCCTTTCTCTGGCATGATGGGGACAAAGAATTTACACGGCCGCGGTGTCCTCGTAAGAGGGCACCTACCGTACACACTTTTTCTAGCGTGGCAGGAGGCCCAATATTTCGTAATTTTCCCCCACGCGGGGGAGACGCCGGGATACTGCCAAAATTTTGACGATTAAAAGACCAAATTAAATAATTTGAGAGATTTGTTGAACTCAAATTACATAATTTTGAAATATTTCTTGAACCTAAACTTAATAAATTGAAAGATTTGTTAAACTCAAATGAAATTATTTAGAAATATTTCTTTTTGAGCTCAAATAAAATACTTTTGAGAAATATTTTGAACTCAAACTAAATATTTTTTTTTAAGCATATTTAAGCTTGTAATTCCACTCTTTCATTCCAAGAAGATTAATGAGATTGCTCATGATATGGCTTTAAATCATTTAGCAAAAATAATTATCAAAGATAATTGTAATCATAGCCAAGGGAATGATGCATTTATTATCTTCATAAAAATCCTATGTTGATGTTAACGATGAACAAAAAAAATCAGCCACCCTTGGATCAATTTCAACATACATGCTGATATCAAGATTTGTTTTGTGATGGAATATGACAAATGAGATGAGCTTTTTCAACAAAATTATTAAGGAAGACTTGAGAATGCTCATTCATGAAATTCAAAGTACAATTGAAAGACACACTATATTGAAGGCTATAATAAAATAAAATAAATAAAGAATTAAAACGCCACCGGATCCGCACCACTTTTACAAGCGAACAGAAGGCGTTTGTATGCCTCTAAATAAAATTTTGTGCATATCCTAATGGAAATCATTTACATAAATAATCATATTCAAACATTTAAAATGCCCTCCTCTTGCATTAAAAATGAATTTTCTAAATTTCAATATGCAACATCGAGTAGGGTGTCGACACCTCTAAGATGTGTGTAGCAGCATTGAGAAGCAAGTGACTGCCCCAAGAAGAGTGCTACCATCTTGAGAAGCAAGTCAGCTCGAGAAGCATGCATATTAAATTTTAGAAGACTAATATAAATGTTATTTAATCCCCGATGATGGTCGTGTTGAATGTATATATCAACCAGAGGGGATTCTACACCTTCAAATATTTCTAAATGCTTATGAAATACAAATATTTTCAAATGCTAAAATTACCCCTGATGATGGCCGTGTTGATAGCTAATCTCAACCGTAGGGGATCTCAAACATTTAAAATACCACCAAATTTCAAATGAAATACTAGGACAAAATACTAATAAATTATAAAATATTCAAATGAAATTTATTATTTAAAACTTAAAGAAAAAAAAATTCATCCATCATCCGCAAACGTTTGGTAAGGATGATAAATTTCAGAATAATTTCAGCTCACAAAGAGCAAAATATATAATTGAATGTATCACTGTGATTCATTCTCAAATGATTTATCTCCAATGGGGATGTGGCATGTGCTCTCTGACCCGAGTGGTTTTGCTACAAAATAGCACCACTATATCACGGTCACGGTTAAAGCCCGTATGTTCTCCAATGGTTAAAAGCCTCTTAAGTAATGAATCATAGGGTGCACTCAATAAGGGATAAAGCATTATGTTAGCTAAGGTTGACTAAAATTTGTCTCCTTTAACAAGCATCCACCCCAAGTTTACAAGGTACCCTTGGACGAAGCAACACATGACTGCCGATAAGGATCCTTCTGTCAGGTTGGGTCAACTACCTCATATGACTAAGTAGACTAGGGACCACGATGGCCCGGGACGATGGAACCATGAGATATTGATCGGGCTCATCATCATTCCCCCCACCATCCGCTTTAAGTATAAAAATAATAAATTTTCTAAATTTCACATGTTGCTACTATATGCTAGGTATTTCGTACCTACTTAATGACTAGCCTTAATCGAAAGTGCTCTCTCGTGATCGGGAGAGGTAATTAACCATAGGTGCTTGCGCCAACAGGAAACCTAGAACCAGATTTTAAAGTCCTCACAAAATGAGGGCGAAATTTAGGAAGTAGCCTGAAAAGCAGGTCTTACAAGTTAATCGTTTAGACTAAGATGTCCATAGAATTAAATTTGATTGTTTGGGTTTTAGGTTTATTACAATTTATTTAGTAATTTTCCTAAAATGTTGGGGCTTACGACTTCAATTAGAAGTTGCCCAACAGTGGGTCTTATGACCTAGCCCTGCAAGCTAAGCGGCCCGAGTTGTGGGTCTTACAACCTAGTCCCTTTAGACTAGGATGCCCGAGAATTTTAATGTTTCGGTTGTACTTATGGCTTCCCTTAGGAAGTAGTCTGAAAAGCGGGTCTTACAACTTAATCGTTTAGACTAAGATGCTCATAGGTTTAAATTTGATTGTTTAGGTTTAGGATCATTACTATTTATTTAGCAAATTTTCTAAAATGTGGGGGCTTACTACTTTAGTAAGAAGTTGCCCGAAAGCGGGTCTTACAACCTAATTCTATAGACTATGATGCTCAAGTGAGGGGTATAGGTTTGTATTATCACCTAAACACTTCCCTCAGATTTCGGACTTACGACTTCTATTAGAAGTGGCCGGGGGTTTTAATTGGGGGTTTAGGAGTTAGGCCAATTTAACCTAAAACTTTCCCCTAAGGCCGGGCTTACTGCCTTCCTACGAAAGTTGCCGGGAAGTGGGTCTTACAACCAAGTTCCTATGAACGAGGTTGCCCATAAAATTTGTGAGGTTTGACATTAGTTTCTTTATTTTAGCACAGTTGTGTTGCTTTTACATGCTTCTAGTACTTTGTTCTATATGCAGTAGCTATATTTATTATTTTTTTATTGATTCAATTTATTTGCAATGCACTGATCTTTATTTGTTTGTTTGCAGGGGCTCGTACATGAGAAAGGAGATTAGGTTGTTCTGTTGGAGAGTTTCGATTATGGTTGTAGGGAGTTATGTATTATGGAGAGTTTGAGAGCTTGTGTTTGAGAGTTGAAGAGTTTGTTTGCTTGGGTTGAATTGAGTTTGAGTTTTATTTAAATTGAGTTTGAGTTTGTTTGTAGATTGAGTTTGAGTTGTTTTTTTTTTTCTAAGTTGAATTATTTTGTTTGAAGATTTGTTTATATTGTTGAGTTGTTGTGTGTTGATCAGTTTGAACATAGGTTGAATGATGAAAAAACTAATTTTCTTGCAACATGCCTGCAATACTATAGCTTGATTAAACTCCAAGTAGAGACATCTTTTTTTATTGAAATATTGAGTTGATGTAATACCACTATGTGCACAGGTAAGTTAACTCCATGTGCAAGAATATTTGTGGTGCAAAGAACATGAAGATCCTTTTTCGGAAAAAAGACCTCAACAAGATTTTGATTCTTCAGACAAAGCCCACCATTGTGAGTGCCAACACCACATAGAATGCATGATTGCATTTATTTATCACCACAAGATACAAAAGCTTCCTTTAATTTATATATATATATATATATATTTGCTCTTTTGATCTTTTTGAATGGATTTGAATGTCCAAAGCTTTGATACAATATGAGAGATGTGTTGAACCACTTCTTCTGCACCTTTTCTTAATGATCAGAATATAAGTGCAATTTTTTTTCTTGATTATTGTATTTGGATAGAAAAAAAAAATAAAGAATCTTTTCAAATAAGAAATCATTCACAATTGGAGCACTATTTTCCCACTTTCAATTGGAGTGATATAATCATATTTATATTGGAAAGAAGCATAGAGAAAAAGCACTCATTTTGTAATTAAATAAAGTACCTAAAACTAAACATGGAATGAAATGGAGAAGACAACCCCAATAAAATGACACCACATCATGAAGGGAGAATAATTGTTTTTTTTTTTCAATGAATGGACTTCAACACATCATTTTATATATAAATCTTGAATTTCATAATGAAATGACACCACATCATGAAGGGAGAATAATTTTTTTTTTCTTTTTTCAATGAATGGACTCCTACAACTTTATAAGATACATTATGTTGAAAACATAATTGCATCCTTCACATTTTTTTTTGCATCCAAAGTTCTATTAGTGGTACATTGAAGAAACCATTAAACAACAATAACAGGCTGGTCATCATGCATAATAAATCAACCAACTGATTGTTCAGCTTCAGCTGAATCCATACAAAATCACCAAAACTAGAAAAGCCATTGTTAGACAGTCTTAAACATCATGAATTCATATACATTAGTAAAACTCATAGCAAACAAAATAAACTAATCTCAGACTTCCAAATCACCATCTCCAATTTGTTTGTGTGGTGTGATCCTCTCCATGTCAAACAAAACAATTTCTCTGCAAGAGCTCACCTCCGGATTGAAGTTTTGAAAGCTTAATTGTGTTAGATTGCTCGTAGAATCTCCAGTATAATTTTCACTTCCTTCTGCTTCAATCTCCTTTTCATCATCATCATCATTATCATCATCATCATCATCATCATCGTCATCATCATCGTCATCATCAGGACTACAGCTGCCACTATTATACTCATCATCTGAAGTGATTTCCCTTGCATGACTATGCACCTCTTCATCATGGTAACCGTCTGATGATTGAGAAGAGAAGCTTGGAGAAATTGCTCCCATGGCTGCATCCTCTCTTTCTCTAAGTTTTTTCAAGATCAGGGTCTTGAGAAGGTTCATTACTTGCACAGCATGCATCAAAGCTGTCAAGGGATCAGACATCTGATAGACAAGAAAGAAAGCATTGTTTAAGTGCCAAACAAAGATAGATTACAAAATCAGGATAGATTGTTACTTGTGGTATCCGGACCGTCTGGAGGCGAATCTGGATGGCTCCACATCACCAGGATGCACTGGGCCCTGGGTGACGTGGCGCATCCTGATTCGCCTTTGAACGAATCCGGACGCCGCACCTAATAATTTATAATTTTGATGCAAATGGCACACCCCTACAATTTATAGGAAGGGTACATTCAAGATTGACTCGAAACACAGAGCAATATTTATAGTTTTGTGTGATTTATTTGAAGGTGAAAGAGAGAGAACCTGAGTCATGTTTGGAGCAAAGACCATGGCTATATTTCTTGCATTCATTTTATTCAATCCCTCCTCTTCAACAACATCAGCCATGAGTTCAACAGCCCAATTGAGGAGAGCAGCCTGAGTTGGGTGGAGGAGCTGCACGAGCTCTACGCATCGCTCCTCTGTGTTGCATTGAAGAACTTGTTCAGGAGAAAGGCCATCGAGTACACCTTCAGGAAGTTCTCTGAACCAGGCCTGCAAAACTTTGGATCACACTACAATTTTCTATACTTAATAGAAAATTCAAGTAATGATGATATACTCTTTACACTAAAGTTTCTTGTCTTCTGCACGTACTTACTGTAAGAGCAAAGTCAATAATGTTCCTCTTAGAATTGAATTCTACATATTCTGAGGTGCATTTATGTTGATATTAAAACTACTGCTGACCAGACAAATCATAATTATTAATCTAATCACACAAACTATTGTGTCATAAGCAGAAGATTTAGGCTTTGTTTGAGACGGCTTTCTTACTGCTTCCTAAAACAACTTTTTAGTATAAAAATTTTAAATTTTGTACTAAAAGCTGCTTTATAAAGCCGTCCCAAATAAAGTCTTACTTCTGAAACCAACCTTTCCATAACAGAACGAATCGAATAGAGAATTCACTAAAAATGTTCCTACTTAAACTTTACATAAGAACCATTAATTAGGACTTTACAAACACTAAGAAAGAATGCATTACCTTTCAATAGCCCAGCACAAAGCTTTGGTAACAAGCCATATCATAATAGACCAAATAATTTGCTTGACATTGCTTAGCAGATTGTCTATAAAAATCAAACTGATTTTACCTTTATAAGACCAGCTAAACAGTGGACTTCAATATCTTCTGGTACAATGCCCTTGTTCAGTTGCTCTCTCAACTCTTCCTCTTTGCTGTTTTCCGGATTTATACGAAATATCCCCTCTGCCTGAATACAACATATTTTTAAGGGAACAGATATTGTTATTTATGGCTTCCATTGATATGAAGGAAAGTTCTTTTTTTTTTTTTGAAAATGATGAACAGATATGTTTAATACCTTTAGCCCGCCTTGAGAATACAACCTTTCCTGCATAAGTAATAGAATAATGGGCACGCTATTACCTTTTGAATCAAAACAACACTGCATCGACTCAGCTGAAACTCCAAATACACTGGCACTGTACAAATTAAGATCCATTTTCATTATAATGACAAAGAAAATGATTAAAAAAAAGTAACAACATCAATTACAAGCCCTCAAACTTAAGAGAAAATTCTATAAGATGGTGATGAGACTTGCAATGCTTCATGGTATTGAATGTTGGTCATTAAAAGAGAAGCATAATACTAAGTTAAGTGTTGCAGAGATGAGGATGCTCAGGTGGATGAGTGACATTACTCTTAAAGATTGGATACTAAATGAGCATATACGTGAAAAGGTTGGAGTAGCGACAGTGGAAGATAAGATTAGAGAGAGTTGCCATAGATGGTTTGGTCACATCAAGCGGCGGCCTTCCGATGACCCGGTTGGCAAAGTAGAGGTATTAGATTTGACTAATGTTAATAAAGGTAGAGATAGACCTAAAAATACTTAATTAGAAAATATTTGAAATGTTCTTTCTTTATTAGATTTAAAGAATTTAACTTTTAACCTGACACAATGGAGAAAAAGGATTCTTGTAGCAGACCACATGTAGTGGGACAAAGGTATCAATTGCAAGCCCAAATCAAACTTAAGGTTACCAAAATCGATCTATGATCAGAAAACATAGAAGAACAACATACCAATAAGAGGAGAGACTGAGAAGTAAAAGAGCTAAACAAAACATAAAGTATCGATCAACCTGGCCCTAAGAAGACCACACAACTTCTAACTCAACAGAAACACCCAAAAATTCATGAAATCGGTCGAATGTTACATGGGGAACATGATGAACGTAGGTTTGCCATTCTTCCTTAACAATCTACTATATTTTTTTACCACACAAATTTCAAAAATAAAATAACAAAAATAAAGGGCGATTTACATACATAATTTATCTTATAAACATCTGACTTTTTTATATTCATTTTTTAATATTTTTGTTTTCTAAAAAAATGATAAAAAATGAATTTTTTTCTAATTTTCATTTTGTTTAGTCATTTTTATTCATATATGAAATATATAATACCCGGTATATATAGAAGTTAATATATATATATATTAATTTAAACTATTTTTTAGAAATGATAATAAAATTAAAGAAAACAAAAAAATTAAAGAGAAGAAAAAAAAAACAGTCTCTAGCCGACTTGATTAAAAAAAAAAAATTCATTTGCCATTTAGTTTCATATTGGCATTTGTTCCTTATTTTAGTTCTAAAATGAAAAAAAAAAAAACAGAAATATATTTTTTTCTTATTTTTCCTTTTTTTTCATTTTTTACATTTTTTTTCTAATTTTTAATAAATGTATATATTTAAGTAATACTTTATTTATAAATGAAAATAAAAATAAAATTAAAAGAAAAAAAAAACAGTCGCTAGCACTGCTAGCGACTTAATTTGAAAAAAATATTCTTTTAGACTTTTTGATTTTCTTTTCATTTTCCTTTTTAAGAGTACAAAAAAATGAAAATAAAAAATAATATTTTTTTCCATTTTTCTATTTTTCATTTTTTTCATTTATAATGTTTTTTTGTTTTTTTTTTTCATTATAAATTTTTTTAATAAATATACATATTTTAGTTAAACTATTTATTTATAAATAATAATACAAATTAAAAAAAAAAAAAAAAAAAAAAAAAACAGTCGCTAGCTTTGGCTAGTTAGCGACTTGATTTAAAAGAAAAAACTTTTATCCTTTTTCATTTTTCTTTATTTTTTCTTTCTAAGTTTATAAAAAATGAAAAAAAAATCTAAAAAGATTTTTTTCCCATTTACTAGTTTTTATTTTTTTCTGTTTTTAACATCTTTAGTTTTTTTTCCATTTTTTAAAAAATTTTCATAAATTAAAGAAAACTCAAAATTTTTTTTAATTTATTATCAACTACCGCCATTTATCCTATCCGCCCGCTCCCAATCGCTGGCACTCCACGCGACTATGGCTGAAATTAAAATTTGTCCGACAAAATATTGATGATAATATAGATAAAAAACTAATGAGGAACTCGCATTAAAAGACCAAACAACAAAATCAGCAAATGTAAACAAAAAAAAATCAGAATTAGTGAAGAAATAAAAGAAAACCCTATAGCGAGACCTGGCACTCGGAACACGACAGGGTATCTCGACCTCGAACTCAACCGGAAGACCCACAAATCCATGAAATCTGTCAAATGTGACATGCGAAACGTGCTGCACATCAGTCGGCCAGCCGATCTCCATGTGCCCAAGAGCCATCCCCGGCGCCGCCTCAACTCCCCTCTGCTCCGCCGCTCTGCACGCCACCACCGACCTCCGAATCGCCGCCACGAGAAAGGCTAGTAGAGAAAGTTGCCTTTCTCTTTCCCTTTCCCTCTCTTCGTCTCCTTTGGCCCTCTTCTTCACACTCTCTTCGTCTCTGCACCCCCTCAAGATTAATACAACTCCAGCCATTTTTGATCTCTCTGAACTTCTGTTTGCTTCGCGACCGGTGGAGCTGAAGACTGTGGAGAGAGAGAAAGAGAGAGAGAGAGAGAGAGAGAGAGAGATTCGCAGTGAAGATCTGCGTGATGCTTTAATTTGAAGTGGGCTTCTTTAAAGGGAGAGGAGAGCTCAAACGGCAAGTTTGGAATTCAAATTCGGATGTGTGAAATGTCGAAAATGACCCTGAACATTCAGAAGAATGACGACAAAATTACCATTAACATAGTTATCCAAAAATCCTACAGTTGGGTAGGTGATAACATTTTTATTAAAAAAATAACTTAATGGAATTGAAACTCTATTGAGTTGAATCATGAATGTCTACATCCACAAAAAATTTCTTAATATGAATAGATAATTTGGCATTTGATGTGATTTTTAAATATGAAATTGCAAATTTCCAAATAATTTAGGAATCATATCTGTCAATTCGAATCAAACCCATCCTGCAAAATTTGAGTTTGGATCGACCCACTAACCCATGCTTGACCTGTTTAATTTTTATAATTTCTTCTATATGTTGTGATAATATTCGTATTTTTTATCATGTAACTTATAATCTATGCTTAAGAAGCTAATAATTTTTTTTTAAAATTAAATTGGATTACCAGGTCTGATTTTAGTTAATTTCTTGACTTATTTATTAAGCGGGTCGGTTTCGGGTTGATCGAATTTAGGTCGAATACAATCCCGATTCATTGACTCATTTTGACAACCCTAGGATCATACAAACTCTTATTTTTGCAACTTTTTAAAAAAATCTATATCAATTATTTGTTTACTTGTTATGTGATTAAAAAAAAGAGGATAATTGTTTTTTATATATTTAGCATAGAGAGTATAAATAGAAGCTTCTTTGATGTGGGCCTCATGAATTTATTAAATAGTAAGTAGTATTTCAAGAGAAAATACATGAAGGCAATCTGTAAATATAAGTGAAAAGAAGGTTTGTAGCTCTTTAAATATAAAGAGGCATGAATAAGTAAATTAGATGAATCACTCGAAGTTTTGCTCATATTATTGGATGGTGAGACATTTATTGAATATTTTTATTCTTTTAAATAATGGATTTAAAAAGATTTCAAGTGAGATATATTATTATCCTTGAGAGATACTTGGTGGATTTTCAACATTACCCTCTTAAGGTACTTGTATTCTCCACTAAGGGTTATGTACTTCTTTCCCTATTTATTACTAAGATGCATGCCTACGAACCTTGATAATGAGCGATATATCCTATTATCATGGAACTTTTATTTGGTTCGGTGACCTGACATAGCATTACGTTCGGACGCCCGTGTTTTTACTTTTTACCGCGCGGCCCATCAACCCGACCTAGAACGGCCCCAGGATTGCTATGTTCGCGTATTACTAGGTATTGGTCGATTTTGCTCGACAATAATGAGAAATACTATTCTGTGAAGACCAATACCGAGTTTTGCTAAAAACTCGGTATTGCTCGGTACTGGTCTTCACAGAGCAATATTTCTCGTTATTGCCAAGTAATACCTAACAATACCTAGCAATAACGAGCAATACTGAGAAATACGCGAACATAGCAATCCTGGGTTCCAATCCGAGCCGGGCCATCGGGCCGCGCGGTAAAGAGTGAGAACACGTTGTGACATATTATTGACATCCGAACGTAGAGATACATCAGGTCAGGTCATAATTGTTCATTATCATGATGATCAATGGAATGGTCTAAGTTAGCCTATGCAACATTGAAGGTGGTGGGCAAGATTGCATGAGAAAGTTGTGTAGGTCATAAAGAATGTTAAGGTTAGCCTTCTCCTTAGAGTTGGAAGCGACACGACATGGAGGCATCAAGCAAACAACATAAGAATATCATGGAATTGGATGAAGGAGATAGTGATAGTCCTTCCAAAGGTGGAGAAAGTTCATATCTAAGAAAATAAAAGGTGATTGAAGGGAACTTCAGGCGGTAATCAGAAGAACATTTATCTCAATTGATGGGAAATAATAGAATTATTTGAAAATCTTTAAGTATTTCTTATCCCATTTTGTATTAAAAGATAAATCAATCTTATTGAATAAAATTAGGTTGATTCTTCTATGAGAACTTTATCAAAAAAAAAAAAAAAACAATTTTATTTCTTAATATGCTATAACTTAATTATAATATGAAGATAATTTTAATAGTACAACTAACTCATATAAAATAAATAATATTTAAAAGTACTATATTAATAAAAGCTAGACATTCATATAGTGCACTATTTATATATATAAAAAATGATTGATATAATAATAAATCAGAATAAAAACATTGGTATACTAACAAAACTCATAAATCCTCATTTGATTTCTTTCCGATGCCTACATGAATGAACTTTAAAATTCTAGCTAAAAACCAATGTTTTTTTTTGGGAGTTGAACGCATATGTCATAGGCTTCGTTTCGGACGGCTTTTGTATTGTTTCTTAAAATAATTTTTTAGTACAAAAAGCTAGAAAGTTACTTTAAGAAGCAGTAAGAAAACTGTCGCAAGAGAAGCCATAATCTTCTTAAACTTACAATGATATAAGTGTCAGTTTCACCATCATGCAAGCAGTTTTTGAATTGTATTATGCTAGATTACACAAAATGCATGTAGTATACATCATTATTTTCTAAATCTACATGAAATTAGAAGAACTCACTTGAGAAAAAGAAGGCTGTCCGCTATGGCTCCATTTGGGATGACTTTCTAAATGCTTTTTAAAATAATTTGTACTAAAAAACTACTTCAAAAAACATAAAGAAAGCCGTCCCAAAACAAAGTCTATGAGTGCATTAATGTCGCCAATGCACTTCGTATGGGATTATTCTGTCTTGCAGTCGCAGATGAAAGCTTTCTGTTTAAGGAATGGGGTCCATTCCAGACAGACTTGCGGTCTCCAGAAAACAGATCCCTGCATAGCCATAATACTGAGTTATTCTCCTGCTGAGGCGGGTTCTCCAACAGTTTAATTTCCTGACCGCTTGGATACAATTCCTGCAATCATAATACCACATCAAATTTATGCTTCCACACCCACATTATTAAAAATAAGAAGTTTGTGGCATTGTCGTAAATTCGCTGTTAACTAGATCTATGATTAGGGTTGTCTATGATCCAATCTAGAGTAAATCCGACCCTGGACACAGATTGTCATTTGGTTCAATATCGAGCGGAGCCAGGGCAAACTCCGCTCGGGGAAAACTATAGGCTTGCTTGATTCGAGCTATAGGTTTAACTTATTTTACTTTGATTATAGTTTGGCTTGTTTATGCATTCATGCATGCATATATATGCAATTTAGTCGAGCCTGAGCAAAGCTTAATCCGATTCAATTCCGACTCGATTTAATTCAAGTTTAATTAGAATCGGGCATGGCTTATTAATTGGCTCCTTGATCTTGATCAAAGCCAAGTACCAATCAAATATTTTAGTGATACTAATCTTGTGAACCTACTTACAACAATAACATCAAACCTTTATCCCATTACGTGGGGTCAATTACATGAATCTTTTTTCTCCATTATGTCATGTTAAGAATCAAATTCTCATTTAAATCTAATAAAAAAAGGTCATTCTAATATTTTTTTAACCAAGTCTTTTAGGTCTACCTCTACCTTTCTTAACATAACTCAAATCTAATACATCTACTTTCCTAACCGGGTCATTGGAAGGCGCCTTTCATGTGACCAAACCATCTAAGACAACTCTCTCTAATCTTATATTCCGCTGGAGCTACTCCAACCTCTTATCTTTTTTAACATAAATCAAATCAACTTGTGAACCTACTTATGATCGAAAAATTGAAACTTACCCCTTGCCTAATCTCGTCATCATTTTCATCTTCATCTTTCTTGTAACTGTGCTTAGATGAGTTAGACTGAGGCCATTCTTCACCATTAAAATGTTGATTAGAATCATCCTTGTTGCCATTCTCATGTGACAAGTTGTCGAAATTTTCATTGTTGGTGGCATTAGGATAGAGTTCAATCTCTCCACACGAGGCGCCAATCTTCTCGGGTTCATCGCTGCCCGTTGGTTCAAGAATCGTCCTTGACTCGACCTTTCCAGCTTCGCCCATTTCAGCATCAGCTTCAGTTTCGGGAGAGTGATCAAAGGTTGAGGCAGTACCTTCACTGCAAGGGTTGTCAGCAGAACTTACCTGAAATGTTAAAAAGCATTCAAGAAATATGTTCTGCCTTAAACATACCAAGAAGTAGATTAACAAATAAAAAATTTAATACGAATAAGCGAGAATGATAGGAGTGCAAAGATTAGAGGATTCAATATAAGAAAATCTAAGGAAATAAGCAACTTAAAATGCCATTTAGGTTTCATTTGGGACGGCTTTCTTTCTGCTTCTTAAAGCAGCTTTTTAGTACAAATTTTTTAATTTTGTATTGGAACATTGCTTTAAGAAGCAGAAAGAAAGCCGTCCCAAACGAACCCTTAAAGCAAGCTTTAAGAGTCCTCCATGGTAGTTGGGGATAAATTTACACCCACATTCAATATATTTAAAGAATTTGATCTAATATACAAAATAAAGGAATAGGAAGGCTTGGCTGACTTGAGAATTTATAATGGAGTATGGAATATGCACAAATAAATAGAACATGCATAGTTAATGCAAGAGTAATAAAAAAGAAATAGTGAAGACTAAAGGTAACCAGACTAGTACTAATAATGATGATTATTACATGTTCAAAACTATTAAAACGTCATTGAAGTAATAAAAGAGATTAATCTCAATTAGGCTATCTCTTGCATACACAGTCAAGAAAAAGGTTAACCTGCTCCATAGGTATCACCATAAGGAAGGCACCCTAATGCGGCTAAGTGGCTAAGATAGGTCTGGTTAGGCAAAAGAGATAATTCTATGGCATAACCTCCCAAAAAGAAATTTGAAAAAAGTAATGGAATAAGTAAAACGTTCGTGTGAATTATTCATAGGCATTGGCTAGGACCGTATGTTGACAAGTTCTTTGAAGCCAAAATAAGGCACCAGAGCGCTACACCATCCTTGCCAACCAAAGCCATGAAAGCTAAATTTTAAGGCTGTTTAGAAATTGTAGCATTCCACCAAGTAGGGATGACAACAAACATATTATAAAGTGGTTTGGAGAGGGCATCGATGGTAGAGTAAAATGTCAACAAATAACCTGATAAGGGGGGAAGATGATGAATAGAAGATTTAGAATCTCGACAGAATATTAATGCACGCATTTAAATGCTAAATTAAACCTTTTAGATTGCACCATACCATCGGTGGAGAGAATAATGTCCAGGAGCGTCCACGCAAACAATTGAGGCTTCGTTTGGGACAGCTTTCTTACTGCTTCTTAAAGTAGCTTTCTAGTTTAAAAATTAAATTTTTTTACTAGAAAGCTGCTTTAAGAAACAGTAAGAAAACCATCTCAAATGAAGCCTGAATCTTAGCACGTTAAGTTAGGCTTACATAGGGAATACTAGGTGAAGTATGAGATGAGCTCCAAAGGAGAGATGCAGCTGACTTAAAAGTCGAAGTCGCCAATTAAAGGGCCTGGACCACTATGTTATTGGCCTCAAAAGCTTCAAAGTTACAGTAGAGGATAAGCACGACAATAAATAAAAGGAATGTAGAGCACCTGCACCAACCTTACCTTCAAACACATTTATTAGGAGGCTAATCGTTGTGTTGACCTTGCTTGCAGGCATGAGTTACTCCACAAGACGACTCAACATTCACATTTTTATTTGACACTTCACAATCTTTTTCTGGAAATTTAGTCATAGAATCCCCTTCTCACATACACCTACAAAAGGTCACTAACAGCTCTAGCATATTTTGGACATAAATTCATGTCACAGAAAATTATAAATATGCATTTAAATTAAAAGGGGTATCAGCAAAGGACCACCACCGTATTGCTTAAAGAAGTTATTGAGGGGCAAATAATGAAACGTAGGTTTATGCTATCTTTTGGAGCACCAAAAAGCGGCAGGAATCTTGAGATTGTCATTGAAGCAATTAGAGTTCTGGTGAGTCACAATGTTTGAGAATAATTTAGGTATTTGCTTGACAACTAGCCTTAATCGAAAGCTCCCTCTCGTTATGTGGGGGGTAATTAACTATAGGGGCTTGCGCCTATAGCAAACCTGATTCCAGATCATAAAGTCCTTGCAAAATGAGGGCGGAATCTCTGGATGGTGTCTTATTTATAACTCAATCCGCCTTCTGAAAATTTACCTTGGAACTTAAGCGTTAAAACTCTCCTCGACGATCCGAGAAAAAGGGGGGTCCGCCGAGAGGCCGGGGCGCAAATTTTCGGAGCCCATAGCACTCGCACGAGATGGTTCCAAAATGGGATGAGCTAGGGCATTGTTAAAAAATAAATAAATTTGAATATTTTTACTAAAATGCCCCGCTCATATTATGAAAAGCAGGAGATTTGTAAAATATTATGTTAAATTTGACAAATTTTCTAATGGAAAGACTCAAGGATCAAATTGTATCAATTTTTAATAGTCAATGGACCAAATTAGGTCACTACAAAACTATAGGATTGAGCACTTACTAAGAATAAGGGGATTTTGAGCTTTTTACAGAGATTAATAAAAGAATGTGAAGTGATGATTAAATAGTCTTAGCAAAGATTGAGATTTTGAAAAAAAAATGTTGAAGAATTAACGAATATTGATTGAGATGCTAAATGAATATTTTAAAAAATTAAAGAATATTTTAATAATAGGAGAATTTCTAATAAGTTTCTTGAAAATTTGCCTTAACATGAAAGAGAACTTGAATTTAGGATTGAATTGAAACAAGGGGGGCATCAACAATATTTCAATCTCTTTAGAGAATGGGTCCAAGAGACTTACAAAAAATTGAAATGTCAGAAAAAAGAGTTAATTGATAAGGGTTTATCAGACAGTAATTCATCATTGAGTACACTTGTGATTTTTATTAAAAAATATGAATATATAAGAATGCACATTATTATAAAGAATTGAATAAAGCAATGATTAAAAATAAATGTAATGAACCGGTTGGGGGCCGGTTCAACCGAACCGACCACCCCGTCCCTTTATTAGAAGTCGCGACTCAGGGCAGGTCGCTATTCGCGAACAGAGAGGAGAACGGAGGGGGCGGACGACCGAAACTCCCGCACGGTGGCCTTGGAGGTTTTCTTCGCCATTTTTAGCAAACGAGCGTGTTGGAGGGTAAGATTTAACAACTCCTTTTCGTTCTAATTGTTATAGAAGCAAAGGTTTGGGAGAATTTGCAACGAAGGGAAGGAACGGCCGAGGGAAGAAAGAGAATAAGGTTAGTTTTTAATTCTTTATTTTATGTATAAATCCTTCCCAAATTCTTATTCTAAGCAATCACCTAAGCAATGGAGGTGTTTCATTAAGGGCAAAAGAAGAGATTTGAAGAATTTGGAAAAGAAAGGAGAAGGATTTTGAGTTGGAATAATCATCTTTTGCAAGTGATTTTCTTATCATAAGTTTCTATTAAATTTTGTAGAATAAATCCCTAAAATTATTTTATGACAATTTTGAAGAAGGAAAGAAAGAATTCAAATGGTACAAGTTGGGTTATTCAAGGAATTCAACAAGGATAGAATTTTGAGACTGAGGTTGAAACAAGGATCGACGAACTGAAATATCAAAGTGGGTAAATTATGTTATTTTATAATTTTATTCATAATTGGAATCTATTAAAGTAATTGATTAATTGTGTATTACATAATGTTGAAGATATTATGATTTTATAGTTTTATCAATAAATTCATCCAATATAAATGTTTGAAAGTTTATGAAAATGAAAGGTAATATTTATAAATGCACATGTAAGATACGTTATATACAATTATAACAATAAGGATGAAAAAGGAAAAGGTATTGAAAACTACAGGAGTTCACCCCCTTATGGTACTGACTGGAGACGCCATACTCATGCACGAAAAAGGAAAAGGAAAATGTTATGGATATGGAAAAGGAAATAAAAGAAAAAGGTTATACCTTTGGGTACTTTGAGACGGTGCTCCTGTGCAAAATAAATGGGAAAATGAAATATAAATGAAATATTAAATATTTAGATTATGTTAAAAGAAAATGTTCAGAGATGTTTAAATTAATGAAATGAAAGAAATAAAATTAAGAAATGATAGAATACATATTAGTCATTATTTATATTGATTGTTTTAAATAGATACCCACTCAGTTTACTTAGTAAACTCAACCTACAAGTTTAAATGTTTCAGGTAAGTTCCTAAGAAAAGAAATGGCTGAAAGAGAAGAATTTGTCTACAGAAGTCAGCGTGCAAATGACAACAGGCAAATATACATTTTTGTGTTTTAGTGGCTATTCAGTATAAATGAAGAAGTGAAATGTTTAATGATTTTATCGTCTGACTTTCCGTACCCACCTCGTTAGATCGAGCATCCGGGCCGGGTCATGACAATAAATATCCATGACTACGAAATGATGATTTATTCAATTAGCTCGAAATGTTATTGTGTTCTCTAGAATTGATTTGAGATCATTATATCATTAATAAGTAAGAAAAATGCTTTTGAAATCAAATATGGTAAGTACGAATTTTTAGTAATGCCTTTTAAGTTAATAATTGCCCGTATAATCTTTTGAATATGATGAATCAAATTTTAAAATAATATAGAATTAATTTGTGATTATATTCATTGATGATATTTTAATATATTATAATACTAAAGAAGCACATAGGATTGCTACATAAAATGATTGTAAAGCAAGTTTTAGAAGACCAAATGAAAAAGGCTATGAAAACTAACAATACAACAACAAGCCTTTATCCCACTATATGGGGTCGGCTACATGAATCATTTTCTCCATTGTGTCTTGTTAAGGGTCAAATTCTAATCTAAATCTAATAAAAAATGCCATTTATAATATTTTCTAACCAGGTCTTTTAAGGTCTACCTCTAACTTTCTTAACATAAGTCAAATCTAATATATCTACTTTCCTAAATGGGTCATCGGAAGGTCGCCGTTTTATGTGACCAAACAATCTAAGGTGCTCTCTCTAATCTTATCTTCCATTGTAGCTACTCCAACCTTTTAGTTTCTAACAATGAGTACCAAAAATTAATTCAGCAAGTTAATCAATAAAGAGAGAAAATCACCATCACTGAATATGTGGTGGTAAAAATAAGCTACATTTATGGGTACTTAGTGATTCTATTTTGAGATAGGAAATTTTGCATGAAACTCATCACTTAGGTTAACTATTCATCCGAGAAGTATCAAGATATATAAAGATTTGAAAATATTATTTTGACAACCGTGCACGAAAAAGGATGTAGCTAAGTATATATCTAAGTGTGAAACTTATCAAATTGTTAATGCTAAACACCAAAGACTAAGTAAACTTACATCTATTCCTTACTCCAAAGTGAAAGTTAGAAGGTATTGCGATGGAATTTGTTATGAGATTTTCAAAATTCAAGTAAGGTCATCATTATATTTGAGTGATGATTATTAAATTTACTAAGTCAGCTCCTTTTTGTCTAACATATTCAAATAGAACACTAGCAAGATTATACATGAAATATATTGTTAGATTGGCATTTCAAAGGGACCAGGTTAAAGTGGAAAAGAATTTATGAAAGAGTGGACACTGGGCACCAGGCTATATTTAAATCCCATGTTTCATCCACAAACTCATGGCCAATCAGAAAGAACTACTAAAAATGTTAGAAGACTTGCTAAGATTATGTGTTAATGGATTTTAGAGGCAATTGAGAGAATCATATTTCAATGATAGAATTCACTTATAACCATAGTTATCAATCTACAATTAAGATGACACCTTATGAAGTAATCTAGTATTTCAATTACCCTTAACCTTACCTGGACAGGTTTCAATTGAGCCCTATTACTACAAAAATCACATTTCATTATAGTTAGGGATTCAAGAAAGATCCAACAACTCCAGAGCTAAATTTCCTTGAAAATTACTCTTACCTGGCATTATTGGAGTCGAAAATGCTTGGTAATGCTATCTGCTTATACTGAAATCATAAACATTAAAAGCGCAAAAAGAAAATATTTTCTCAATTGGGACGAGATTGAATGATTAAGCTTCAAAGCAAGAAATGGGTTCATACACCTCTTGAGGAGTTTTTGATACTTGATGAGAGAGCGTTGAAGGATATTTATGATATAGTTACTATGCTTTAATACAGCCAACCTAGTGAAGGCCACAACCAATCGAGTACTTGCTTTATTGAATTAATGGTCTCCCAAAAACCTCACCTCAATCCTACTAAGGCACTTCCTAAAGCAAGGGTCAAGACACGAATAATATCATTCATCAACACGTAGCACAACAAAGTTTATTTCAATCGAAAGAGTGGGGCAGATTGAGAGGTGAGGAGATACAATCACAAATTTATGATAGAAAGATTTCTTCTTTAGCCAGAGATTAAAAGATTGAACACGTGGTGACCTAGCCATCACCCGACAATATGATATAAAGATTATGATCTTGGCATTGGAGATTGCAAGGGTGATCTTTGGGAGAACTTCCCCAGAAGCATTCGAGGTTGCGGATGGAGCCCACCTGCTCCCTTAAAAGCATTGTCCCTTGTGAGTGGACCAGAGAATACCTTAGCTCAAAATTAGAGAGGCCAGTCCGATCTGATCAGCCCTCTAATAAAACCGAACAGCCAACTATGTCATGTACTGGCAAGAAAAGGGAATTTATCGATCCGACAACGACAAATTCCTTAGTGAGATCGGGTTAGTGTATTGTTTACTGATTGCTGAAGCTACATCAAAAATCCCGGTAACTGTTCTTCGGAGATCCATTCACCTTGTCCATCTGCTCATAAACTATACAACTTCAAAAACAACGTTCAATTCATCTAAATATACTTGTTATACACATGCACATTAAACCACAAGCTACCATACTAAATAACCAACATATCCCTCTGTAAGCAACAAGGTCCGTATTAACTTTAGTATGCATATTCCGTCAGGTAATAGAAGTAAACGGCAAACTTTCAGTATCATCTGCAGAAACTCTTTCCAATGAAAGTAAGTGGATGCTTCAAACTACTTACCTCCAACTTAGGTTCATTAGATAAACTGGCATGAGTAACGATCATGTGGGTCTCAAATGCTCCTGATTGTTCCTCGCGTTCCTTTCTGCGGCGCCTTACTACACAGACTGCACATAGACAATTGCTTTTATGGCCATCTATTCTGAAATATAAAGAAGTTTACAGTTAGCATCTACAGACAAATTAGACATTCACAGATCCATAATTATCCATAACTGGTTCATTTCATGTAAGAGATAAGGTGACAGATCCACCAGAAGACATCCCCTTAATAAAATGGGATGTGAAGTAAAATATCAAAAGTAGCAAAAAAACTAATTACAAAACCAACAAGAAAATTATGATGGCCACTTTCCTAGTGAATATCACTGCTCCATGATAATAGATAATATCTAATTTGATAGATAAACTAATCATCTTCATGAGATCATAAATAAACCCAACCAATAATAGGAGATATAAATTTAGCAATGAAAAAATATAATCATAACAATTATATTAAAGAGCTGGCAACTTCCTCGCTGCAGCAAAATTTATTAGAACGAATGTTAACATGTAATAGGTCATAATTTATAACCACCAGTGAATGGGGTGGAAGGAGAGAGGAGGCAGCTTAAGACTATATCATGGTTAGCAAAAATCGTTTCGTTTACATGTAATAGAAGAAATTGACGTTCACCTCTTTCAGGATGGAAGCCAACAAAATAGAATTATTCATCAATACAGTCATACAAATAAGAGCCCAGTCATTTCAATAAACAAATATTTGTTCCTTATATCCATCATTATAGAAAAAAAGGTAAAGATGCTACACAGGCATAACGCTATGCAAAAAAGCTTACAAGCATTGTGCATTTAGGGAAAATGAGATCATGCACAAGAATAAGTCATAATTCACAAAAGCATGTTTTAATGTTGAAATCCCGGTTTCACAGCTTCCTAACCCAACTACAATCAACATAAATTAATCACACCTTGTATTGTGGCCTTCTACACTGTTCGCCCAGGAAAAATAGGTGCAAACCTCGCTCTCACAAGTTTAAGATCCTTATTTTCCCTGAGGTAGATTAGATTTAAAATTTAACTAGATTTTCCATGAGAGTAGTGTCAGGGTTTATTTAGATTTGGGTCATACTTCCTATGAGCGCAAATCCTCATAGTTAATTAGCCCTTCAAACCCGTAGAAAAGCACTCTCGATTAAGGCTGGAATTATATTCAGTATGTGCATGAAGTACAAATGTGTGTGCAACAGTGTGTGAATGTTTTAAACACTGGTTATGGGGGATGAAGGAGGACCCAATCAAGATCTCATGATTTCATCATCCCAGGAATATCGTAAGTTTCAGTCTACCACACTAGCGACCATGATCATAGTGTGCAGAGAATCTAATTAGCAACAATGAGTTGCCTCCTCCTGAGTAGACTGAAGTGGATATGTGTAAGTTGTTTTATCTAGGTTGGGATTTGTGGCTCCATTTAGAAGTTGCCCAAAGTTTAGATTTGAATTGGGTTTTACGGCCCCATTTAAGAGTTGTCCAAATGATTGAATTTGGGTAAGGGCTTACGAATTTCATTTGAAAGTAGCACTAATGGCGGGTTTTATGGCCTTTATTAGAGGTGGCCCAAATAGCGGGTCTTACAACTTAGTCTTATAGACTAAGATGCCCAAAGGATTTGGAAGTTCATATAGGTCTTATGGCTTATGAATTTAGAACTTGACTAACAACGGGTCTTACGACGTAGCCATGTAAGATAAGTAGCCCGTCTAGTAGGTTTTACAACCTAGCACTATAAATTAAGATGCTCGTAAAGGAGTCTAGAGTTATGTTATTACCTAGATATTTTTCCTTAAAAGTCGGACTTACGATTTTCATTGAAAGTGGTCAGTTTGTGGGTTTAGGGTTAGGTTAGTTTAACATAAAGATTTCCATTAAGATCGGTCTTACGACTTCTATTAGAAGTTGTCGGGTTAACGGAGATTTAGCTTTACAAACTAAAGGTTTTGCACCAGCGTCGACGTCTTGTTTTGCCAGCTTTGCTTTAGTAGTAACTTGCAATCGTTGTTTTGACACTTACTAGTTAGTAGTTGTTGATCTATGCTTATAATAGTGCTCATAGCTTTTATAGTTTAGCAGTACTTTTACTTGTTTGTTTTGCTCTGTCAACACTAATTTTACATTACAAGTTACATTTGATACACTATATTAATGTTATATTTGTTTGCATGCAGGTAGATTGTACTTGCAATAGCTCAGAAATTTCACAGGTAGCTGTATGCCACTGCTGAGATTTTGTGAGAGTTTCAAGGGTTTTGTTTTGGAGAGTTATTTGTTATGCACAGAGAGTTGTTACTCAGAGAGTTGTTTGAAAGTTGATGTGAGTTAGTTTGTACTTATGTTGTATAGTGGAAATTATTTTATTATTGCATTTTCTTTTATTTTATATGCATTAATTAATTATATTTTAATTAAATTTTGATTGCTCAACTAATTAATTAAATGTATTTTAAAATTATTTAATTATTTAAATTGATTGCTCAATTAATTAAATTTAAATTTTAAATTAAAATCTATTACTCAGTTTGATTTTGATTTGTTTAAACTTTAAATATTATTTTAAAAATATTTAATTGATTTAATTATATTATTAATTAAATTTAATCCCTCATTAATTTAATTTAATTGAATGTTTCTTTAATAAATAATTATTAATTAAATTAAAGCTTCGATTAAATCTCACAGTAATTGATTATTTTCAAAATTAATTATTTGATGACTTGTATTTCTCTTACTTGATTTAATTAAGTTGTAAATTTTATATTCCATTATTATATGATTTTATTAATTAAATGATTTCGAATTAATTTAATTAGTTATTATTTAAATTAATAATTAAAATTTCTTCTTGATTTTAAGTTTTAAGTATTAGATAATTAAATTAGAGTTAATTTAAGTAGTTATTATTATTAACAGATTTTAATTGATCCATTAAATTTTGATAAAAGATCTTTAGGTTATTATGTTAATCAATTCAGGTTTCAAATTTAACTAAACGTTTTAATTGAACATATATACTATAATATACTATATATATATATATATGATCTAATTTTTAATTAATTAGAATCCATTATTTAGTTAGATTAATTAATTGGTTCCTAATTTATAAATCAATTAAATCTAGAGTTTGAGGTTAGGAGTTTAAATTGATTACTAACAGGTAATTGATTAGTTATTAATCAATTTTAATTGGAGCTTGTGGCTTTAAAAATTTTGACAGTTTCCTAGTGAAATTTCGACAATCTTTCATAGTATCCCCTCCTCATAGATAGAGGAGGTAAGGAGGGCACTGCCTTTTCAAACCCACCAGTCGGACAGGAATTTACGATTGAGGGCTTCGAGATTCGTATGTTGGTCTCGAAAATTGTCTTTAAATCCTCGATTTGATGATTGTAGCCTCTGATTGATGATTACAAGCATCATTATATATAATATGACTATATCTATATATATATTATATATATTAGTATAATCATATATATATATATATATATATATATAATTTGAGATTAATGTTAATATTAAAATTAATGTTATTATTTATCATAATAACATTAATCTTCTTCTATTGCTTACAAATTCAAACGAAAAAGAGATCAAGTTGGAGCGGAGAGACGGAGTCATAGGCTCTGGACGTGATTTTGTTCGTGTATAGGGAGGAGGCCGAACGAACGTGAGTACATTTGCGTGAAGGGAGGCTGGGCGTGGATTTTGTCGCAGGTGAAAATCGGACGTAGCAACTGGGTCGAACGACCAGGTGTTGTTCGTGTGTGACTACGACTAGAGGCATAAGGTGCTTGTATTCGTTCACGTAGAGGGAGGATACTGAACATCACTGAGAACGGGCTCTATTCATGTGTGCTAGAAGCTGGAAGCAGGTCACGGCTAGTGCGAGCCAATCAAGCCGGAGGAATGTAGAAGAGGGCTTGGACGTGAGGCCTAGAGATTGGAGCAGTCCTTCCTTGCGCAGGGGCGTTCGATTGAGGTCGACAAATCGGGGGTTGGAGATGGATGGGCAAGCAAGCTCGGCTCCTGCGTGTGTGCTCGGAAGGTGACTGACGTGGATCGGATAAGGGGAAAATGGGCATTGGTGCCTTACTGTTGGAGGTCGGATCGCTCGAGATTTGGCGGGCTTAGAGAATCACGAGAGAACGAGCCAAAAAACCATAACTTTGATTATTCGTGAGTGCAGGTCTAATTTTCTTGATATTCCCTAATTTTATATGAACAATTATCGTCTGAACGTGCATACGTCGTGACTAAACCACCATCCGGTTTTGCCAACGTGGGAAAGATAGTTAGGAATCTACACTTTTATGCTATTATAATAAGAATCAACACTTTTATGCAATTATAATTAATTGTTTGATAGCCTTGCTCATAATTTGTTCCCATAATCTTGCTCTCACAACTTAATTAACATATTTAATGAATTAGAGCATTTCAATGGTAACTGGACTCATAATCTTGCTTTCCGCAATGCTTGATAACAGTTGAGTATTATTTCTATCGAAGTTCCAATTCTGTACTCGGTACCAATATAAAATCAATATTCTAATATGTCCTCAAGCGTAGATAGCTTCCCATTTCAAACGTCTGCAACATAATATGCTAAAATTTGGACAGTATCACTACTTATTTAGTTATGTGAACTTGAGTAGTCAAGCTATCTGTCAACAGAGCTGCATACTCTATTGGGATTTTTTTTTTTTCTTTCAAGACTCCCAGTCTCATTTCTACTCTGTATGTTGCCATAACATACTCATGTTTCTTCCATTGGCACTAGACCAATGAACTATGATTTGACTAATTAACTTTACTTTGATAGATCAGACCCGCTTGATCCTTCATTCCGTTAAAATGTCAATCCAAATTATCTAAACAGTAAACTAAAAATTGGGGATCCAGCCCACCAACATATAAAGAAGCTTTAATTTTCTCCAGTTCGGTTTGTTAATTACTCCGTTTACTTGACGCATTAGGATGATCACCATAATATCAATAGGATTTATAGTGCACAGGCTCCACTCCTCTTTCTCTCTTTCTTTCTTTCTTTCTTTTTTTACTTTCATAAATTCCTAT